GCCCCATTAGACAGTCCCCCATCGGGGCGGGCCTTCTGCCAGGGCTGCTCCCCTGTGTGCTTCTAGAAGCTTCCTTTCTCTAGCCACTATTCCTCTGCCCTAATTCATCGTCTGGAATATTGCAACATTATACCAATTGGTTTTCTAGCCTTTAGAGTCTCCCCTCTAATCCATCTTATTCATAGCTGCCTATGTTGTTTTTCTAAAATACAGATATGACAGACTTTTCTGCTCAAAATCCTTCCATAGCTTTCCACTGTTGAGCAATAAAGTTGGATTGCCTTAGCCTGGTGCTCAAGACCTTTCATAATCTGGACCCACTCCACCATGTATGTTTTGAAAGGCTGCTGTATAGAGGGAGAATTGTTTGGTTATGTGCTGAGGGGTGGATGGGTGGACTCTAGGCTGATGGATGTTTATCAAGATGAAAGGCTCCATGGACTGTTTGACTTGTAGACAGATGATTAGGTGTCTAGGTGATTGGGAGGCTGGGTGTAGGATGGTGACATAGATGGGTGGGTGGGTGGAAGCCTGTTACCTCTACTACAGACAACCTCTTTTAAGCAGGTTATAAGTGTGTGTGTGTACGCACATATATATCATACATAAGCATAGATATACTTATGGCAGTGGTGTCTCAGAATCATCTCAAAGGTTAAACACAGACTCTTGGACCCAGCCAGAGTTTCTGATTCAACAGATGTGTGGTGGGGCCTGAAGATTTGCATTTCAATAAGTTTCCAGGTGATGCCCCTCGTCCAGGGACTACCCTCTGAGAACCACTGCCTCTGGTATGCCTGGGACAGTTGTATGCCAGCAGAGCCAGGGGCTATTGCCAAGCTGGAATGGAGTGACTGGGGATGTCATCCAGTAGGTCTCCAGGCTTCCTGTCACTGCCAATGGGCCTTATGCCCATGATAGGCCTAGGGGCCCATGGTTTTTCTTCCGGAGATATAGCACCCTTATCACAGCCCACCGGTGTCTGCCCAGCAATCTCCAATGCCAGCTATCCACAATTAGCGTTAAATAGGGTCCATAAGGTACATGCACTTGGCCGTGAAGGTGCTGCACCTTGGCTGTAGGCATATAGACTAACCATGGGCAGTGCCCCAGGCAGCCCAGCGAGCAGGGTCAGAGAGGTTCCCCTCTCAGCTCCCTAGTGTCCATTGCACCTCAGGAGCAGCCCTTGGACCTGCCGGAACCTGCTCTCACCTTTCTTAACCTCCGCATCCCACAGAAAGTTTTCTTCTTTGGGTAGAACAGGATGGGGCGACTCTTGAGCTGCTTGCTCCCTGTGCCTTTGGGGAGCAGTATGCAGGAGTGGGCTGTGAAGACAGCCCTGGACCAGGAAGCCGTGGGTCGCACGCTTCCTCTAGCTCAGCCCCTGATGTGTGGATCGGCCCTGGCAAACCTACCCGCTGGCTCACAACTGTTTTCCTGCATGTCATGCCTGCTTTCTCAGGCATTGTCAACAGGGTCCTCCTTAGCAACATACAAACGTTCTCCAGTCTCACCTGCCTTAGAAGGAGGATGAGCAAAAGTCCTTTTACTCCATGTCCCTCCCTCCAGCTGCAGCCCCAGCCGCCTCCTGCTCACAGTAAGATTCCTCCCGAGTGCTGCTTACACATACCCTCCATGTTTCCTCACCGCTCGGTACCTCCCAGTCCACTACAGGCTGGCTTCTGCTCCCCTCACTCCACTAACACGCGTCCCCTCAAGTCTCCAGTGACCTCCAGGACACTAAATCTGAAGTGGTTTTCAGTCCTCCTATTCCAAGTGTTCCGGCAGCTTCCAGCACTCTTGAAACGCGCTTCATCTCGCACAGCACAGCATTCTTCTGGTTCTTTCTGCAGCTCCGGCTACTCCTCCAATTTCTCCTGCAGGTCCACCCTCTATCGACCAGTCAGCAGCCGTGTCCTTGAGGTGAAGGCTGCCTCTCCTCTCCTCTTACTCCCTACTCTTGCCCTTGGCAACTCGATCCCTGTCTCAGCTCCGATGTCTGCCTCTACTTTTCTGCCCCTAAATGTTCATTCCTCCAGTTCATTCCTCTCTGTATATTCGATTGTTCACTGGGGCATCTGAGAAACACCCCGGCCTCTGTGTGCCCCAGGCCGAACTCATAATCCTCTCCCCTTCCACTGCAGCCCTGGTCGGCCCGTGGCGCCCACCATCTCAGCGAGAGGCACTGCCAGCCGACCAGCCGTGCGAGTCAGAAACCCAGGGATCTCGCACCTCTCCCCCTCAGCTTCCGTGGCCAGACTGCCATGTTTCTCTCCATCTTATTTCTACAGTAGCTTTGGACTCTGTACAGTTTTTCACATCTTCACTGTCCCATCCTGATCCAAACCACCGTCATTCTTCCGAGGACCACAACAGCCGCTAAAGTGGTCTCTCCCCACGCCCCCTCTGGCGTGCCTCCAACCCGGTTTTCCATGTTGCAGCCACTTCACACCCGGGTCTGCCTTGTGGCTCAGTGATGGGGAGAGTACTGCCCGGAGAGGGGAGGGCCTGCTTATGATCCCAGCAGGGGCTGGAGTCCAGGCGCCCTGTTTCCAGGACAGGAAGGCTGATCTGCATGTAGGCTGGAGGCCCATTAGACGCAGAGCTGGCCAGGCCTCCTCCGTAATGGAGAAGAGGCTCTGAAATTTGCAGTATCAGGTTTCGGAAAACACAGGGTCAGGGTCAGCAGAGCAGCTGGTAGTGGGGAAGGCCAGGCCCAGCTAATTTCCTGTCAGAATGGCCCAGAGGCCCCAGCCCCTCTCTGGGCTGGCCACAGGGGAGGAGATGCCGGGAATGGCTCACATTCCTCTGGCTGGGGCTCCACAGAACCTCGAACCTCGGGGGACCGAGGGGAATGAGGAGGTGGATCTGCTGAGGCCAGAGTTGGGGGCTCTCTGCAGGGACCAGGCATCTGTTGTCCAACCCTTAGGCTGGAATGGGGCCAGGGACTGTAGAGCTGATGCAAAGACCATCGCAGCTGCTGAAGCTTTAGGATAAACGAGCCTAACCTCACGTTTCAGATGAGGAAACAGAGGCTCAGACGGAACCAGATTTCACCAGGATCACCCGGACGTCCCGGTTCTAAGCCCTGAACCCTCCACCTCTTCTGACCAGGCCAGTGTTTCCTGTAAGGCCCAGCTTTGCTGAGCTTGTGACAGTGGGGGACAAGCCAGGCTTGTGCACTTCTTGGAAGGGAGGCAGGAACCCTCACTTTCAGACCAGGATGCGTGCTTCTCAGGCGGTCTCGTGGTGGGGTCGCAGCCCATGTGGAGAGGGCGTGAGAGTGCGGAGGCAGCTGTGGGCCCCTCGTCCTCTCGCTGGAGGTCCCCAGCTCGTTCTGCTCACGGAGGGAACTTTATGCCCTGGTCCAGTCCCCAGGAGGGTGATGCCATGGAGGGTAGGCTGCTGGCCTTCAACGGCCCTCTAAGTGGCCTGGCCAGGCTGGGTGGGAGACAGGGGTTGACAGGTCCCCTGCACTCTTGATTCTCTGGCACCAAGACTGGCCTGGTCGAAGCTGGGGAGGGTGAGCGTAGGACGCAGTCGTACAAGCCTGGATCCAAACCCGGCTCTATCAGATACTGCTCTGTGACCTGGACGGGTCATTTTATCTCTCCAAGCCATGAACTCCTCGGCTGCAAAGTGGGGAGGGGTTACTCAATTGCCTTCTCTCCATCAAGTTGTACAGTGAGTCTGTGACTTGGACGGGGGTCTCCTGCCTGACACTGTGGGACACAACGCCATGCAGAGCTTGGCAGTGCTGGCCACACCCACCCTCCACCAGCACTCCTGAGGAAGCGTGAGGCCCACTGGTGGCGTTGGGCCCGGGCCTCTGCTCTCTGCCCGGCCATTCTTCCCCAACTCCTGGCACTTGACTCTGAGGCTGGAGCTATTTTCCAAGATCCCAGGCAGCGACCTGAGTGCCTGGCTGCCCCTCTCCTCTTCCCCATCCTCTGCCCCCACCATTTAAGCCCCAGTCCTACAGGCCGCCTCAGGCATGACTCTGAAGCTTCCCCCTCTACCTTGCTCTCTGCCCTTTCCAGTACAAACAACCACTACAGCCCCTACCTGCCATTCCTTGTCCCCAGGCCCCCGTGCATTCTTCACCAGGGAGCTCTCTCTAAACATGCATCACAACCTGGCTTCACTTCCGTCCTGGCCTTCCTCCAGTTCACGTTGCCTAGCCAGCTCCGTGTCCTAAGACTCAGCAGAGATGTCATTTACTCAGGGAAGGCTTCTCTCATCCCCAGGGCTGGACTAGGACCTCCTCCCACTTTCACACAGGCCCCTAGCTGTCCCTACCCTGTCACAGCTCTGATTACACTAGATTTCATACTTTGCAGGTATGGATAATGGTTTGTTTTACTTGGGGTCCAAAGTAGCCAAAACAGGCATCGGCACACAGTCAGCATCAAAAAATATATGTTGAATGAGTGACTAATGAACAGATATGTGCATAGAAAGGTGGACACACAGTGGTTTTGGGTGACCAGCCCATTCATAGTAGGTTTCCTGCTACAGTTGGAAGTTCGTGGAGAATACGTGCACAGTCAGGGCTTACACTGGCACATATTGAAGCCCGGGGCAGAGAAATGACTTCCAGCCTTCTTCTTCTGGTGAGGCTCAAGTGACAGGGCCATGGCAGGGAACCCCAGACCCACCTGCTAAAACTCAGCTGTCTCCAGGAAATGTGGATATTGCAAGAGGGCTCCAAGGTCAGGTGGAATCCGGGCAAAAATGTGTCCGACGGGGCCTGAGTGTATAAGTGACTCTGTCACTAGGATGTGTACAGCTCCAAGTGTACACGTGCGAACGAGCAGGCATGCCCTTGTCTGTTGTCTATGTGTCAGGGCTGTGTGTCTGCATGTCTGTGAGTGCCTCTCCTCGAGGCCTGGCGGCAGCTCCCGGACCAACTCAGCCCCCTGAGCCCACGCCTTCCATGGCGCCTCCGCTCTCCGCCTCCCTCCTGCCTCTCCCCGGGCCTTCCCCATCCAGCATCCCCGTCCTGGGCTCCTGTGCCTGCACGTAGCCCTGTCATGCACATACCATCTGTATGATGCTACATCGATTTCCTGTTGCCATTATGACAAATTTATACAAACTTAGTGGCTTAAAGCAATACGAATTTATTATCTTACAGTTCTGGAGATCAGAAGTCTAACATGGGTCTCACTGGGCTAAAATCAAGGTGTCGGCAGGGCTAGGTTCATCTCTGGAGGCTCTAGAGGGACAATCAGTTTTCTTGGCCTTTTCCAGCTTCCAGAGGCTGCCCACATTCCTTGGTGCATGGCTTCCGTCCATCTTAAAGTCAGCAATGGCTGGTCGAGTCTCGTACCACATCACTCTGACACTCGCTTCTGCATCCCTCTTTCACTTACAAGGACCCTCGTGATGACGGGCATAGTTAGGATAATTTCTCGAGGTCAGGTGACAGGCAGCTTTCATTCCATCTGCAACCTCAATTCTCCTTTGCCTCGTCAGGTAGCCCGTTCACAAGCTCTGGGGATTAGGACGTGAACATGTTTGGGGGGGCTGTCATTCTACCCCCCACAGACAGTCTATCTCTTTTTCCAGGCCTGCGCTGTACCTTACTCATTCAGCTACTCCTCAGGAGCAGAACAGTGTCCAGCCTGCACTGGTGTTTATTATATATTTGTTGAATAAATCTGACTCAACCAGCGATTTACTGAGAGTCCATTCTGTGCTGGGTAATTTCACCTATATCATCACAGCTGAAGAAAATGAGGCTCAGAGAAGTTAGAAACCACCCGAAGCCAGAAAGCTAGTAAGTGACAGAGCCGGAGGCCTCAGTGTACACTGACCTCAGATGGAAAATGCTGATACCCTTGTTCCTTTGTGTCTAGTGCTCCTAAAGAGGTAAACCCCTAGACCTTAGGTCGTGGCCATGAAAATGCACCTGATCTCAGACTGGCCCCTGCTGCTACGCTCTAATGTCCATCGCTGTTTGCACTGAATTTAATTTTGGCACAAGGACTCCCCTTTGGCCTTGACGCTTTCTTAGATTTGAACGGCATCGCACCTTCTGTCCTTCTGTCTCTCCTTCACGGGGGTCAAACTTACATCACAGTCTGCCATCCCTCCCAGCTTTCCCCGGCTCCCTGCCCATCTTCACTCACAGGTGTTTTCCTAAAAATCTCTTGCCCATAGGATCCTGTCCTGGTGTCTACTTCTTCAATGACAAGAACTAACATGAGCGGTAAGATGAGGATTTGGGACTGTCTCACTCACAGCGGCGGGGAAGGAGGATGCCATCCCGGTTGACAGGGAGCCCCAGATAGTCCCTGGAGCAAGATAGCAGCTCAAATGCTAAATATTCCACTGGCGAGGACCTGGGAAAATTTGCTAGAGGAGAGGAGTGCTTGTGGCAGGCGTGAGAATTCAGGCACTTTAAAAATATGGGGGAACGATGCCTTTGAAAATTGCTTGGTTACTGCGAACTCGTATTGCTACCAAGCAGAGGGATGAAGAGGGACCGCGGGCCACTAACAGGCAGGAAGTGTGAAAGGCAGAGCCTCTGTGGTAGCTTACAAAGAGGCTCTTATCTCCTGCAGTGGAGAACAGATACAGCTGAGTGGCAGGCTGAAGACAAATTGTTAGAGTTGCAGAACTCCTGATAAGTCTGAATGCTCAGCCAAGGTAGTTATGTGAAGGTCGGGCCCTGGTGGGGAAAATCTGGAACCCTGAAACGAGATAAAGGTATCTGGGTGGACGCTGTGGCCTCCCTGACCCCCTGAGCTTGCAGGGGTGGCTCACCCTTCCTCATGAGAGCTGTCACCTCTGCTGTGCTGTACGATGCCGCAGAGGTCTCACCCCTTCAGGGCGACAGCTGCTCTCTCAGCAGTAGCCCCACTTCCTTTTCCTGGTTGCCAAGGACAATAATTAGGGTTAAATTCCAGAATAATCTGGCTGGAGACATGCCGAGCCTGATAAGGGAAAAAAGAGACTATACCATGAAAGAGTAGTATCCATCCTGAATGCTGCCAGGAGCCAGGGGTACCTGGGACTGGATTTGGACAGTGTGTGATTAAGGGGGCTGGAACGTAAGGTTGGCCAGGGCACTTTCTTGCGATATATGTAATTTAATACCCTAGCTAGATCACTAGGGGATGGGGCGGGCTCTGCTGTGGTGGCTTTCAGTAGTTTGGGAAAAGTAGTGGCCAACATTCAGTGAAGTATTAATACCTGAGTTCTCCTGGCAGATGGTAGAGAAGGAAGAAAAAACGCTGAGGAAAGCGGGAACGCTGATGGGATGATTGCATAAGGACAGTATGACTGGCATGGCCAGAGGGGGCAGTCAAGGGGCTTTATTTAACCCACAGAAGGGTGTGAAGATAGTCAATAGAGCACGGTGTCCCTAGGGGCAAAACAGATGGGCAGCCAACGCGTCTCTGCTTAATATCTACAACCGAAACAGCAGACAGGAATGAAGAAGCGGGAGGCAGGGGCGATAGAAAGTCATGAAAGTCACGGTCTCTTGTTCACTTCCCCGACCCGAGCCAATTTTCCGATACGGAACTCACTGCAGAGGCGGCCAGGTCTCAGGAGGGAGGACTGCAAAACTGCAGCAAATATGAAGCGTGATGATTCCTTCAGCTTTTTTTTTTTCCCCCCAAAGGCCTATGGTCATTTATTTGTGTGGTATTTTATGAGAGAAAAGAGAATAACAAGACAGCTGAGGACTAGTAGAGACAGAGTTTGAGTAGACATTAACCCCTGGAGACTCAAAGCAGTGTGAAGGGCCCTTTTTCAGAGCGGGGCCTGTGGAGGCCAGGCGATAAGTAGGGTCCCGGCTGAAGTCTGGCTTGTGGTGGGTTCGTTAGGTCCACGAACCCACCCAGTAGTCCCTTGGTCCCAAAGCTGAATTAGAATTCACCTGCTTTGACAGTTAGTATAACCCCCCACATTGGATCTCTGGCCTACTAGCTAGGAGCTATCATGGCAGAGAAGGCCAAGTGAAATTTCCTGAAACTACTTTCTCCCAACTCCTTTGTCCTGCCCAAGATAGTAAATAAAAATAATATCTCATCCCAGGGGATGTGGCAGAGATTAACGCCACCATTAACAATTTAAGGGATGAAGGGGCGGTGGTCTCTACCATCTCTACCTAATTCACCAGTCTGACCGCTGCAGAAATCGAATGAATCCTGGAGGAAGGCTGCAGACTGCCTCAGGCTCAACCAAGTAGTCGCCCTGCTTGCAGCTGCTGCTGTAGACCTAGAATCACTGCGAGAGCAGGTTAATCAGGCCTTCGGCATGTGGCTTGCAGTCTTTGGTGAATGTGTTCTTTTCTATTCCGATTAGAAAAGAGGGTCAGAAACAGTTCACATTCATGTAGAAGAGACAATGTTCATTTACGGTTTTGCCTCAGAGCTATGTTGACTGCCTTGCTGTCTGTTGTAATATAATCCCACGGGATCAGGACCATCTTGATCCTTTACGTCAGCGACACTGGGCTGATTACACAGGATGAGCAAGAGGTTCTTATATGTTAGAGGCCATAGCCAAGTCACATGCGCTCCAGAGTGTGGCCATATAAAACCTATGAAGAGCCAAGGACCTATCACTCCAGTGACGTTTTTAGGGGTTCAGTGGTTAGGGGCACACTGGGATATCCCGTCCCAAGTAAGAGAAGTTGTTGCATCTTCTATCTCGGCACAGTGAAGAAGCACAGCACCTGGGAACCTCTTTGGAATTAGAGACAACACATTATTCTGGGTGACATGAAAGGCTGCCAGCTGTGGGTGGGTCCCCTAATAGCAAAAGGCTCTGCAGAAGGTCCAGGCTGCAGTGCAAGCAGCCCTGCCATCCGGGTGATACAGTTTGGCAGACTCTTGGGTATTGGAAGTGTCAGTAGTGGGAAAGGGAAAGATGGAGGATAGACTTTATGGCAAGTCCCAGAGGGAAAATTGCAAAGCAGGCCCCTGGGATTTTATGGTTAGGCCATGCCATTGGCAACTGAGAATTACACACCTTTAGAAAAACAATTTCTGGCATGTTACTAAGCTCTGGTAGAGACAGAACACCAGGTGGGAATCTGAAACTGCTCGTTGTGAGCTGGGTTCTGCTGGATGCTTCAAGTCTTAAGGTCAGATGGGCCTGGCGCAGTCCATCAGAAGATGGAAATGCTACCTCTGGGATTAAGCCTGAGTAGGGCCAGAGGGCATGAGCAAACTGCATAAGGACATAGCTAGAGCCTGTCCCCTAGTCTATACCTTTGGCCGCATGGAGGATCCTGTGCAACCAGTTGAAAAAGAAGGACAAAGCCAGAGCTTGGTTTGTGGATGGTTGACGTGGCACATGGGTACAAGCTACATGACAAAGTGTTAAGGGAACGGGAAAGAGAAAATATTCCTGTTGCGTAGAGCTGTGAGCAGAGTGCTTGGCCATCTACTTTGTGCACAAGAAAAGTGGCCTAAGGTGGACAGAACATATACACATATACACACTAGCAGTGACCAATGGCCTGGCCATTTGGTCAGGGGGCCAGAAGGAAAGGACTGGAAGTCTAGGGGCAAGGAGGTGTGGGGTAGAGGTATGCAGATGGACGGACATATGGGAGAAGGCATGAAGTGCGAAGATTTAGTACCACATGCTAATACCCATTAGGGAATACCCAACACAGAGGAGGCAGTGAATAAGCAAATAAACACAATGACTTGCATATTACACTAGGCAGTCATTGTCACTGACTACACTGGAACCAGCACACAGGGCATATGAGTGGAGTGGCCACTGTGGCAGAGGTGGAAGCCATATAAGGGCTAACGTGGGCCCAACAGCACAGCCTCTGAATGTCCAACCTGTCAGCAACGGAGACCAGTGCTGAGCCCCTGATCTGGCATTATTCCTCATGGTGACCAACTTAGCACTTGGGGGCAAGACGACTACATCACCCCTTTCATCCTGGGAGGGCTGGCAGTTCATCCTCATAGGAAAAGAGAGCTATTCTGGGTATGGGTTTGCCTTTCCTGACCACAGAGCCCCAATCAGCGCCACATCAGGGACTTTGCCTGATGCAAAGGCAAAGAATTCCACACGACATAGCATTCCCCTGGGGGAGGCAGCAAGGGTCCTACTGCAGGACAGTTTATGTTTGCTGCCAGTCACTTTAGATCCCTGTGTCCGGTTATGTGACCCTGATCAGCAGGATGCAGGGCTGCTTCTACGTGACGGGGGCAGAAAGGAATATGAGTGCAATGCAGGCGATCGCCGAGCACCTCCAGGTAATGCCCACTGCAGTCGTGAAAGAACAGGTATGGCAACTCTGACTCGAGAAGGGTTTGTTTACCAAGCATTCAGGTTCTCCGTCCCCCTTGGCGTGAAGGTTGGGCACGCTACCAGGTGAAGCCGCCAGCATCTGCCGAGGTTGCGGAGGGTGAGGGAATTCAGAATGGACCGAGAAGGGAGGGATGAGATTAACTGCGTTGACAGGGGCTGTAGTCAGGCCTCCGACTTTCTCTCCGTTTCCCTTAGGAAGAGAGGCCCAAGGGAAACAAGGAGGAGCTGCTCTCTGAACCTGGTGGGGAAGCAGATCTGTGTGGCATGAGGGGTGGAAAGTGACAACCATGAAGACTTCTCCCACGTCTCCGACTGCAGGGACTGTAAGTGACTGTCGGCCCCAGCTGCCATGTTCTCAGATCCACTGCGGCGTTTGTGCCAAGCCCAGGCTTCCCTCTGGCCGCTGTCTGATGACTGAGTGTGGCGCGGATCCTAGGTGGGCCCATTCTCGGGAGATGTGGGATTCCTCTGATGACTCCTGAAGGCTTGAGGACTTCTCACCCACCTGGCTGAACTTCCTGAGAACTGCACTGCAGTCTGTCCCTCCCTTTCTCTTTCATAAGGGGCACATCTTCCATCCTCCTTTGCTTTTCCTTCCTATTTGGTATCTGCTTCTCAGAGGACTGGGACTAACACTTCTCTGTTACTCCAAGTGTTGTCCTTGGACCAGCAGCCTTGGCATGACTTGAGAGCTTGTTAGAAATAGAGAATGTCTAACCCCACCCCAGACCTACCAAATCAGAATCATTTTAACAAGATGATTCATTCATATGTGCATTACACTTTCAGAAGCACTGATTTAGATGAGTTGGTCTTTTCCAGCAAATCTTGTAAAGAGTTTGGAACCCGAGCCTTCGCAAAGGTAAAGTTTGAATCACAGAATCACAGATCACCTAAGTCCTTCATTTTATAGGTCAAAGCCCAGCAAAGTTTAGGGACTGGTTCCAGGTCATATAGTGAATTAGATTAGAGAAAGCACTCAAGTCTCTCCCTCCCACTGCAGGTTCTGCTGTGAGGTTATTCGCTCCAAGTCTGTATTGTCTAGTATGGTAGCACTGGACACGCAGCATAATGATAATAATAAAAAAAATTGATCTTTGTCCTGGGTTCCTGGCATTGAGTCCCTAAAATCCTTAGAATTTCCTGAGTGCTGGGAGTGTCTTTTATTATTCACCAGTGTTTATATGAATTGAGTGACTGGGGTGGGGCTCCTACATGGCATCGGGACAGGGACTGGTCACCAGAAAGAACAAACCTATGAACAGAGGGTAGGAACTTTCAGCTACTAGGAAGGGGAGAGAGGCCGGAAAATGGGTTATAAAAAGTCTTGAACAAATTTCAGAGAGCTTCCCAGCTGGTGACCACATCGAGGGGCTGAGAGAGCGGCTCGTCCGGAGAGGGCGTGGAATCCTCACACCACTCCATTGGGCTGTTGTTGAGTTGTATCCTTTATAACAGACTGGTAAACGTCAGTAAAGTGTTTTCCTGAGTTCTGTGAGTTCTTCTGGAGAATTACTGAACCTGAGGAGGGGGTTATGGGAACCCCCAAATTCATAGCCAGTTAGCCAGAAGGACAGGTGGCCCCTGGGACACATAACTGAAATCTAAAGTGGGGGCAGTCTTGTGGGACTGAGCCCTTAACTGTGGGATCCGTGCTAACTCTGGTGAATTAGGGTCAAAACTGGGTGAAATTGCTGGACACCCAGTTGGTGTCGGAGAATTGGTGTGAAAAAATGACATGCGTTTGGTAGAAGTGGTGTCAGAAAGAAGATATCACACTACTGCAAACTGAGATGTGCTGTAAGTGCAAAATAAACCCTGGATTTTGAGGACTCAGTATGATCAAAGAATATAAAATATTTCATTAATATTTTTTGTATTGATTACACGTTTAAATGATTTTGACATGCTGTTAAAATATAAAAATAAAATGTCATTAAAATTAATTCCACCTATTTCTTTTTGCTTTAAAAAAAGGGTACAGGATTGGCTAGGATTATAAAACTTTCACAGTCCTACTCTAAGCCCCATCTTTTCATCAATACTACTGTATTCAATTTATTTAATTCATAGTTCTGGTTGCCATTGTGGAGGGCATTTCCCGGTTATCAGCTTGAGATCTTTCAGAAATTCTTAATGGAGTAATAATGTTACTTAACAATTCTTAAAGGCATTTCTGATGAAATAGCCAGAAATATTGATTCTGGCTATTTCTTAAAGGCATTTCTGATGAAATAGCCAGAAATATTGATTTCTTTTGAGAAGCAAACCTGCCAGGCCATTACCAGTTACACTCTAGCTCTGGAATGGAGACCGTAGGGTGGAGAGGTTTGGGAGTGGGACTTGCACTAATGTGTTGCCTTGGGTCTGCATCTTTCAAGAGCCTAGATGTAGAATGGCTCTGTTGCAAGAGCTGCAGGTGAGGCGGGGTCCTGTTAAGGCTCTTGCAGAGCCCAGTCCCTGGTCTTTCTCCACTGGAACTCGGTACACTTCCTTTGCAGCTAAGACCTGAGGATCGAAGGGCACCTGGACACTGACTCTGCAAACATGGCTTGTGCTCAGTTCTGTGTCCTAGCTATTTTTCTCCTGATTGAATGTCAGGGACACAGCAAGGGCAGAATGGCAAGTTCCAGGGCCAGCCATGAAGAAGAGGCCTGAGGGCCTTTGCCTGGATCATGGGAGCTCTCTAGACCGGGGAAATCTGAAGGCTCAAGCAGTGTCACTAATTCACCTTGAGCTTCTGTGGCTCTCGGGTGCCCCTTGTGCCTGGCTCAGAGGGGACTCCTGGATATCAAAAGACTTAGAAGTTCAGCCTTACGACAGGTACCTGCATTCTGTTGGCTAGATGTCAGAGTGTGGCCAAGATCTCCGAGGTCAACTGCAAGGGCTTAACCAGAAGTGTTGAGGGCTCAAGCAGTGTCACTACCTCACCTTGAGCTTCTGTGGCTCTCGGGTGCCCCTTGTGCCTGGCTCAGAGGGGACTCCTGGATATCAAAAGACTTAGAAGTTCAGCCTTACGACAGGTACCTGCATTCTGTTGGCTAGATGTCAGAGTGTGGCCAAGATCTCCGAGGTCAACTGCAAGGGCTTAACCAGAAGTGTTGAACAGAGCTAAAATCACTGATCCTTCTTGTGCTGTTTAACAAGTTCCTGAAGCAGAAACTAGAGTTTAATTTCTCCTGCCTAAAATTCTCACAAATTGCCACATGCCATAAGTGGTGAAACTACGACCCAGAAGCAGTAAAGGACTTAACCAATTTCACACAGCTCATTAGAGGCACAGACTAGGAGTGGTGGCCTCATGTCTCTCACCTAAACTCTGCAGCAACGTGTCCAGAACCTGGAAGCTCACTCCAGCATGTTCAACGTCTGGTTACTTACTGAGCAAAGGGTAGTGATGACGTGAATAGAATCACGGCATGAAATAGGTTATGCTGTGTTTTACCCTGGAATCTTTAGTCCTATGTATGAATCCTGAAACGTTTTCTCCTGAGTGCTATGTACTGCAGAATGGAGTTTATTTCACAGTAAATGAGGGATGCTTTTTCTTAAGCAATAAATTTAATTCAAGGTGGTTAGTGAATGTCAAGCATAAAATGCCTTCATGAAAGTTAAAAGAATCCAGTTACAAAAGAAGCACTGTGTACAGTCTCAAATAGCTGAAGGTACAATGGGCTCCATATTTTACATAGTACAAAAAATTATTTCATATACAAAGAAAAAAATACAAATAATGTGCAAAAACCATTCTCACAGGTGGCAATTTATAAAATGAAAATGATAGAAAAATCCTTCATTCTTATTATTCTCCCAATTTCTTATCTATTAACACAGTTCTATTTCCTAGTGTGTAGGTAATTTTAAATTTGAAAATCTGATTTATTTTTAACCTACAAAGTAGTTTTTTATTTTTTAGAAAGGGAACCATTTTGTTACTAAAATCTTATGACTGAATCAGTTTAGTTAATTTTATATTAAATTATAAGCAGACTATCTGAAAAACACGGATATAGAAATCATATATACATATTTTTGAAACATTAGTTTGGTATTTAACATATTAACACTTCAGAACAAACGCAATGATCCCGCTACCTATGACTCCAGTGGCCAGTGGCGGTAGCAGAAATGCTGCTTCTTTTCCCTGTGAACAAACAGCATTCTTCAGATCTTAAGCTGAACAACTACAAGGTTATCAAAAGTAGAGAAAATCTAAAAACAGTTCTTACTGTTCATGTGCAGAAGTGTTGTCTGGGTTTCCAATCGTGCCACATGTGCTGTGGCCTTGTCACAGGGCTGTGCTGTGTGGTCATAAACAGCTGGCTCTGTCTTTCCAACATCTTCACTTCATTAGGAGGTCAGTGCGAGTGTTCGTTTTGTGGGTTAGTGCATTCAGCTTTCTGCATGTTATTTCACGTAAGAGGCTGTCAGGGAGCAGAAGACGTAGGAGCACAAGATCGTGGATCCTCAGGGCACCTTTGACCCAGAGAATCCAGTAATTTGGAAAGCGTAATTTCCTGTGTTGGCCTGGTCATTGTTGCATCATCCCTTGGACAATCTTTCCATGAGGATAATCCCATGTTCCCCCTCTGCCTGCCACTGAGCACCAATGCTCTGGTTGTGAACCCTGGTGGCCAGCAGGGATTATGGAAGAACCTTCTGGCAGCATCAGAGAACTGAGCATCTCTGAGGTCAGGCGCTAAAAGCAGGAGGCTCTGCTGGAAAACCTCCTCTATGCAGAATGTAACATAATTTTAGAGGGTTTTCAGGTTTGCTTGTCGGAAAACTCTCTAAAGAAGTTATGACCTCAGAGAACAAAAAGGATCCAGCTTTCATGAAGAAGGACCCAAGCAGGTGGTGGCCATTCTGCCTATGGGATGGATGACAGTTGGCTCAGGAAGCATTCTTCTGATCCCTAACCACTAAGACCCTGTTAGAACAATCTAGTGCGAGTCGCAGGGAGTGCCTGGGGCTCCTGACCAGACACATCCATTCAGGCTAAGTAGACACAGCAACTGCTGAAATAGGGGATGGGGTAAGACCGGGCAGGAGAACCTCAGGCCCTGTGCTGACTCATCAGAACTGAACAGAAAGCTGTCAGCACCTCGAGGACTCATGCACTTTTTCCTATTTGGCAGCACGAGTCTTTCCTTCCTCTTCTGTCTGGGCTGACCAGGGGTGTCAGGCATCAGAGATACAGCTCTGGATTCTGTCCATCCACTGCTGGGCACTCTGTCCATCCTGGGCACAGAAGTTATATACACGTTTGCTGGTCTTGAGCTACCAAACCAAATAAAGAGAACCAGAGATGAAGGGAAGGTCTGTTCTACGGCTTTGCGCAAGTGTGTGAGTCAACCCCTGTGAACTTCCCCTTTGATACTACTCCAGAATCTCAATTTTCTCTCCCCTCCACTTCCATCCAGTCACTTTACGTCTCTAGTCCCCAAAGTATAGGGGACTATTACCATCTCCATGGCAGATTAGCATCTGCCAGATGGTATTGGCAGAAACAGGAGATGCACTAGGAGACGCTAACTGGACATCTTCCTGAGGTTGTCTCTGACCAAAGAGGAGGGCCAGGAATGTCTGGAGCCTCCAGCCTTTCCCGTGCACTACACCAAAGCAGGGCAAGTGCCCAGTATGCTTCCTGTGATCCTTGGGAAAGCCTGAGACTCATTTGTACCATGCTGAAGTTGGCTTTTGGGTCCCCTTCCATCCCCTTCTCTAGTCTTCAGCTGGGGCCACACTGGAAACCTAGAGTTGGGGAAGCAGCCTCATGGCCTGGAGCACGGCCCTCGAGTAAACCTTTATGAAACCTTGCTTGGCACTGGGGACTAGAAAAGTCCCTTACCATGTGACCGATAAAATGTCCCAAGGCATACCTAAGGGCTGCCGAAGGTATCAAGGTAGATAGTCATCATGTGTGACCAAGAACAGTTTTTGTGGATGGTCAAGAATGAAGACTGCTGGAAATAAAGGAAGCAGCATCTGTTCTTGCAAGTAGGTGGGAAGCGAAATAATTACCAATATTTAACAAGGAGTTCGTTTGCTTTCATATATGTTTGGTCACCTTTCGAAGGAGTCCTTTGCGTAAAGCAA